GCAATGCGTTTTCGTTCGTAGATTTTGTCCAACGCATGCGACGTGCTCCACCAGCGGCGGGTGTCACTTGCTGAGTCCGAGAAGACCCAGCCGACACCAAGCCATCTGATGGGGATGATGGATGCGAGGGGCTGCTAGGTGATCGTGCAGCTCCTCGCGCTCGGCTGGCGGCCCGCATGCTGCCGCGTCCAGCGCCAGCTCCAGACGCGCCCCGGCGACCCCCAGGCAGCGGCCCTATGCGCGTTCCTTTCTGTGCCATCATCCATTTTGGGGCGCCAAACGGAGACCCAAGCCCGGCACCGTTTCGTGGTTGGGTCATATGCACAAACGGACCTTTGCACCCACAATTTTGCCTAGGCACGGCGCTCACACCTCTTGGCAGGATGCTGACTGACTGCGCCGACGTAGCAGTTTTGTACGTAGCAGTTTTTTTTTGTTTTTTTTTTTATTTTTTTTGTTTTTTTTATTAATATTATTATTACTCTTATTAATAAGATTATACCCTCTATAAATTTCTCCTATATCGCGAAAAATTAAAAAAAAGGGGACATACAAAAGAAATTAAACCAATTATCAATTTACAATTAGAAATATACAATTAGAAATATACATAATATAATATATAGTAATAGTTTGAAAATTCCTGTTGACTAGTACGTGTAAAAAAATCAATTGGCAATGTTCACTTCTTATTTATAATGAGAGCTTAGTGAAAGACAGAGTTTTTAATTAGGACAGTAAAGTATCAATACGATTAAATAAGAAAGACATAGATTAAAATAATGCTAGGTATTTTTTTTGCAAACGACATTAATTTTAGTTTACAAATTGGTTTTTATTCCTTTAATACATTTCAAAATTGCAGAGTGTTGGTAAATTTAATATCCCGCCGCTCCCGATAGTATTAGGGGAAATCATCCTCGTAACGTACACACTTTACATAGACCAATGTGTCGTTTCAGAACTGGCAATATAACATATTATTTACAATTTGAAAACCATATTATTGAATGAAAAAAGCGGATGAAGATGAAGAAGAAAATAATTATGTATAACATGTTTTGGATTAAGTACTGTGTATTTTTTAAATTTCGATACACTTGAATAAGTTTGGATAAGATAATGAATTTGTTAGAAAATTAGTCATTACAAATAAAATTTCTGTCGATGAAGTAGCTCAACCACCACGCACGTTTGGGCCATTCTCAAATACGAAAAGTGGCGGATAAAATCAAGATAATATTTTGGGTTCCGACCTTTAACATAATTATGTTGAAACGAAACTGATTCAAGAAGCACACGCACAGAGGAAGCTAAAGTTGAACAAGAAGAAAATTCTAAGTTGAACGAGAAGAAAATGCGTCAGCCGGAAAACAGAACCAGGTAAAGTCTTTGCTGGTGTTGTTTTGTTTTTACCGATAGAGTTCACATTATGGAGTTATTGAGTATGCTATATTTGTTAAACAGACTGCCATTATAATAAGAGAGGAGCCCGAGATGCTGAGTTGGGAGTTACTCGAGCGTCGTGGATACTTTTGGATTGTGAAGCTTAGATGCTAAAAACAAAAAAAGGTTATATGATGTATGCCTTTTTAGTGGTGGGGGAAGCGGGTATAGATTTTCAAAAATTAAAAAAAAACAGTCACAAAAATACTAGAGCGCGTCAGATATTAACAGTGTATACACCCCACGTATCTGATGGATTGAATGGTGGGAGTGGCCGTACGAAGGGGCTGAAGATGGGATAAAAAAATTATTCGAGCGCGTCAGATATTCCAAAGTTATATTAAATACACCCCAAAAAAGCTCTTGTTCAAATGACTGATGATATGGACGCGGCCAAAACTCAAAAATTGTGACTTTGAAATACTTGAGCGCGTCAGAATAATATACAGATGGTTCAACATGGTGTCCTTGTCGTGCTAACCCATAATCTGACAATTGTGTGGAGGAATTTCCTTAATCTTAAGGGTTTAAAAAAGCCTTCATCATCATCATCATCATCATCATTACAGCCCTTCACAAGTCCACTGCTGAACATAGGCTTCCCCCAAGGTATGCCACAAAGCACGGTCCTGAGCCTCCTGCATCCATCGACTTTCTGCATGTCTTACCAAGTAGTCACTCAATCAAGTGGGGGGTCGCCCTACACTTCGCCTACCGGTACGAGGCTGCCACTCGAGAACCCTTCTTCCCCAACGGTTGTCGGTTCTTCGAGCTATATGGCCGGCCCATTGCCACTTCAGCTTACTAATCCGTTGGGCTATGTCGGTCCTTCTGGTTCTACTGCGGATATCCTCATTTCTAAGTTTATCACGCAGAGAAACTCCGAGCATAGCCCTCTCCATAGCTCGCTGAGCGACTTTGAGCGTCCTCCTACGGCCAGCAGTGGAGGACCACGTCTCGGTTCCGTAGGTCATCACTTGTAACACGCACTGGTTGTACAACTTAGTTTTAAGGTTTTGAGGTAACCTGACGAGAAGATGCGTCGTAATTTCCCGAACGCTGCCCAGCCGAGTTGAATCCGTCTATTGAGCTCTCGGTCGAAGTTGGACTTACCTAGTCGGACTATTTGTCCTAGGTAAACGTACTCGTCAACAACTTCGAGCTTAGTGCTCTCAACAAGCTCCCAAAGCTTTAAATTAAAATAAAAAGAACAAGAAAACAATGCGGAATTTCAAAAAACTTTATTTATAATAATTTGTCAGAAATAAAATTACCTATAAAAAGTTCCTACGATATTTTGAGATAAGTCTGATAGTTTCGCCGGAACAGTAAAGAGATCTCAAAATTTACTATAAATTTGACTTCAAGCTCAAATAACTTTTGAACAGATGGATTTATCAAAAAATGACAAAAAACATTTTTTGTAAAGCGTTTGATTCCCTACAAAAATATTTATCGCGCATAAAAATTTGTTTTTTGGTTTGTGAGATAGAATATTATTTAAAAAAATCCCATGTTATTTAAACGGGAAATAATAATCATGCATGCATTTAGAGGTCTAAATGGGTATCAAAATTAATAGCTCTAGATATTTCAATGAGAGATTTCAAAAAAAAAAAATAGTAGATTATTTTGAATCGGTCTAATATATATCGGTCTTAATGAAGAAAAAAACGTTGAAATAATGAAGAAAAAAACGTTGAAAATAATTTTTAATATTCATCGTCACTTAAATCATCGTCGAGAGATAAAAGAGTGAGAAAGGCTCTTCCTTTAATAAAAATTAATAGCTCTGGTTTTCACAGTCGTATTTTTTTGGTACTCGGAAGATATTTCAATGCAAGATTTCAAAAAAAAAAAATAGTAGGTTATTTTGAATCGGTCTAATATATATCGGTCTTATATAATGAAGAAAAAAACGTTGAAAATAATTTTTTATCTTCATCGCCACTTGAATCATCGTCGAGAGATAGAAAAAGAGTGAGAAAGGAAGAGAGGCGTGGAGTGGGAAATACATAGTTCTCAGCAGCTGCACGCACCACACTATATTGAGGATTTTAACTACTTCGAGTTATGGAAATCGACATATTATATTATTTTTGTGTTCCTTGAATGATTCCATTCAAAATAAAAATAAAATTAACCGCACTCGAGTAAATCCAGCTGACATTTTTTTACATCTTTGCAAGTCGTCAGATTATTGAAACACACACTTTTCTGCATGTAATTAACTCACCTTGCCTTAATCTGACCCGTTCGAGTTTTCCGACCTTTCGACTTTTATTTAATATTCTAATCGGCTGCTTTAAACGCACGTTGCTATTTAAAGAGCTGACATTTGGTGGGGGTACTTAATAGGGTGCAAGGTTCCCCCTCATGTTAATCTGCAGCGCTCGAATAAATCCCGAAATCTCCGCTTGGGTTCCCCTACTCTAAAGAAATACTGTAAAAATATTTTTGGTGAAATAACAAGTCTGTCAATCAACTGCTCTGTGTTGTCGAATTCGCCGTCATTTTGAAAGGAAAACACGTAACTGGTAGATAAGGGAATAGCAGTAAAGATTAATACCAGCACGTGAACCAATACTTCCTTTGTCATAATAACATTATAGTATAGGTACTACGCAGTGTATTAAGTAAATGTAACGTATATACACATCCATGCAATTAATTTTTAATCTCGGACCAACAAACAAAGATACTTGCAGCACGTGTCAAGAAGAAATGGACGCTTCATTACTACTTTTTCAGCCCATAAAAGGTCTCATATATTACTCACAAAAGAACTCATATTTATGCATCTAAAACCACGTTGTTGGATGCAAATGATGCAGGTACGTATGTGTACGTGAGTGCGTGTTCTTAAAGAGTTAAGTATGGTTTTAGTTTGGTTTTTCCACCACTTGAAATGTTCGCACTCCTCCGTCTTTCTATCTTTGTTAGCTTGAGTATTTAATTTAGTAACTTATTTAAATAAAATAATGCGTTACATTTGAATATAAATACTTACTACATTTACTCTACTCAATAAAAACATAAAACATACATTGTTCACAAAATCGCAACTGCATAAAATATAGTAGATATTAATAAAATAATAATACTATTTGACTATAATAATGTGTTTTGTTTGAATTATTGTTAAAACAATACAAAAAGAAATTTTTCTCGTCTTAATCTTAATCGTCTTTAGTCATATTTTTAGTGGGCTTAAAATAACCGGAATTCCCAAATACTATGTCAGCGTTGTAATTAAAAAAGAATATTTTTATAATGATTTCTTATATTTACGCGAACACTACATATTTATAAATATTTACAAAACTACTCTTACGGATTTTATCGCGTTTATTTTTAATTTTAATTATTTTTATTTTTAATTCCCGACGTTTCTGGTGCTTTTCAGCACCCATGGTCACGGGCGACTAAGGTGACTGACGTTCCGATATCATTATTAAACCCGGAGCACCTTCAGCTTTTTTCAGCTTTTTTTTGCATAGATCGGATGTCTTACATGCAGACAGCTTAAAATAAAGAAAAATTATAACACTTACAAGTCTTCCATTTCTTGCCAAGTTAAAAGCGTCGTCAACAATCTGCGCACGGTTCAGAAGATGGATGGTTTGATGGCTTGCGTTCAGAACTTTTGCCAATGCTTGCCAGTTCTCTTCATCGTAGTTGACGCGATAATAACCTGTATTACAACATGCATAAGGACCTATTAGTTCTGGTGTATGCTTAAAATATAGACTGATTAATATTATTCAGGTTGAAAGATTATTTATGTTTGGAACGACCACCAAAATGTAGAATGATTGGTACGTGGCAAGAGATGCGAAAATTTGATGATTGCAGTTGGCTTGGAAATACGTTTTGTGTTATTCCTTGGGGAAGTTTTAGCATTTGCGGAGTTGTGATGATGATGCTAATAATGATGATTGAACGAACTGTTAAAGAAGTTCATGGCTGTAGTGGGCTTAGTGAAGTTGCCTCTTAAACCATGCACGGGTTGAAATGATGTCACTGATTTTCTTAGGTCTCAATACGGAGTATGATTGTGAAATTAAATATATGCAGAATTTATAGTATGCAGTTGATGACGAACGATTCACAGGACTTCATAATGTCCGAAAATCAGCGTAAGACGTTGTTATTAGCTTATAAAAACCTCTTACCTCCTACTTTGGATTTCTCCTTTCTCAAGGTATCAGATAATGTTTCTAGATTTACGCAAATCGTCAAACTTGGTAAGTTGACGGTTTTTAACAGACTGGATATCTTTAGCTTTTTTTGTAGGATAAGCCTGACGGTAAGTGGATGCTGTGGCCCATAGACGTCTGCGTCTAGCCCCGATTACTAATCAAAATGCAGATGCGTTGTCATCCGTGAGGACTTAAATGAAATGACTCATTTCCAGTAAAAAACGTCTTCCGATTCTCTACATTCGAAACACAGCAGCTTTGAGTTGCTTTTTACGCTGGTATTCTGTGAGAGCGTGGGCCGTGCCCGGTGGAGCCAACCCATTCGCTACAACTGTGGCAAATTTTTAAATTATCATTCCTGTGTATTTATCTTCTAAAAATCTTCAGCTTATATAGATTCTGCCGGAGAAGGAACACTTTCACATAAATGCATCGCGTTACCAGAACTGGAGAAGTTTTACTAGTAAAAAGGCATTGCATCTTTATCCTAAGGGGTGACACTGCATTAGTATTTTGATCCTAAATTGATGGCAAATGTAGACGTCAAAAGACTACAGCATACACTTACTATCAGATGGAGTGTGTGCTCGTTTGTCACCTTTAACCTGTTTATAAAATGTGTGGTTTCTTATCACATAAACATATAAAAAAGTTTTTGAGGATTTATCAATAACACTTGCCTGTTTGTTGTTTGTTGATAATGTACCATTCAGCATTTGAAAGACCAGGGATATCGATAGCTATCGCAGGATAACTGGGAGGTACCCAGGCTTGTGGGCTAGTGTCCGAAAAATCAGCATTGGTAGACAGTACCAAGTTAATAGGTACATGCCAGCGGTCCGTGGAGCTCAACTCTCTGTTTGTTAGAAAACGCTCCTATAACCAAGTTGAATTATTGAAACGCAGGTTAACCATATATATAAATAAAATTAAAGTGTCTGTCTGATATTATTGAATTATGTGAGTGATATTGAGACATAAATAATCATTAAAAAAATATTTTTCTGTTTGTCCGTCTGTCTCGGCTAACCTTTAAATCTGAATCAAATGTGATGATACTCTACGAAAAGAAACAGAGAAATACCTGGCTCTAGACTGTATTTCATTTAATATAATCGAAAATTTAAAAAAACTTGACAATAAAAATTATTTTTGTTATCATTATTAAATTTTCATTATTATTATTAGATTATCATTTTTAGATCTCGTCGAGGCGAAGCTGGAGTCAATATTACCACGTTATCGTTTCGTTTACCATCTATAATTTAGTATTTCATTTAAAAAGTACCTGTGAAATGAAAAGCGACTCTGCACTTGGTGCGGATCTCCTGACGTTAAGAACAGGGAAACCTCCTTGGTTTGTCCAACGATCCAAAATTACAGATATTGGGTAAGGGATGCTATGTGATGACTCATCTAACGCCTGTTGGAGAGCTGTATAAAGTTCTTGAGGAGCAACAGCTCGGCGTGAGCTGTAACAAGAAAATTCGTATATTTTTTATATATATAGAGTTAAAACGTACCCCTGATTTTATGTGGCAACTATAGCCCATGTATTCTTGCAACCTGACGCTTTGCAATTGACTTATAGATCTCAATATTTGGTGCGAATGTGAGGGGACCAACACCTTAAAAAGGATACTACTTATCCATGCTCATTATGTGGGACAGGTAAGATAGAACAGATCCGATACTATTAAGTTATGGCTTCCTGCTACCAGTTTCGCAAATTAATAGAGAGAAGAGCAACGGCTGGGAAACAGAAAGATGAAATTGGATAATTATTATGGAAAGAGGATATAAATAAGTTATACCAAAGTTATACTGAAGCTGGCATACCCGTGCCTCAAAAAGAATATAATAAGTGAAGTTAGTCCCAGGAAGAAATTTATGGGCTATTTCTAAAACATTACTTTAGAACTAAAATAAGATGATAGGATTCTTTTTTAACGCAGAAGTTTGTCTGGGTAAATACAAAACTCTTTTTCATTTCTATCGCTGGCAGTGCACACTACTACTTAGTGGTCAAAAAGATAAAGAGAGCAAAAATAATTACTGCTATTTAACTTTAGTCTTCAGAGGTAACAACGCATGTGTAGCCTTGTTTATTGACAGTTGGTTGTATATTTATTCGAGGGTTGCAGTAGCCACTTACCATCAGATGGACTGTAAGTTAGTTTGTCATTTCAATTTTAAAAAAAAGGAGAATTATAGCTAAAGGTTGCTATTATAATTACAGCTACAGGCTGCTATTATAATTATAGCTAAAGATCGCTATTATAACAATAACTAAAGGTTGTTATTATAATTATAGCTACATGTTGCTATTATAATTATAGCTAAAGGTTGCTATTATAATTATAGCTACAGGTTGCTATTATAATTATAGCTAAAGGTTGCCATTATAATTATAGGTACATGTTGTTATTATAATTATAGCTACAGGTTGCTATTATAATTATAGATACAGATTACGGCGACAGTAGCCTAATGGCAGGGCGTGGACCGCGAACTCAAAAAGGTCGTGATTTCGAATCCACCATTCGACTACTGGCGTGAACCACTCATAACACAAGCAATTTAAGCTTACCACGAGTGGTTAAGGGGAATATTATTAATGTTTATAGCATTGTTAATATTCTTTTATAAAAAAAATATATATAAATTTTTGGTCACCTATTCTATAAATTAGCTCTGATATGTGAGCACTATATCACAAAAACATAACTTAGCACCTTTAAATACTGTAATATTTTTACTAACTTATTGCGTAAGTAGATAACGAGCCCCTTCCGGAACACTTCTGGCGTTAAAAAGTGTTGCATCATACGAATTACGGACCCAGCTGTAAAAGAGAAATATTGCTATACGTTATTATTTAATTATTTATTGCATAATATATTGACTAATATATTTTGGGTAAAATACATAAATATAGCGTTTTATACAGTAAATATAATACATAAGATACAGATATAGATGTAGATTGTATCAACACTTTCATCATTATTTTATTATTGATATCACCGACACCCCTCACTCTCTCTTTGCGTGTCATGGTTTTTTATTTTTAATCAATCGAGATCAACATTCTGTGAAATATCGTTTCTAGCATTTTCGACAGTTGTCTCTTCAGTTGCAATCACATAATGATGATGATAATGAACATGATGAACTAAATTTTATGATTAATCCAATTTGAAATCATACCGTAAAAGAATTGTTGTTTCAGCGCAATATTTTTAATCTTTTGGGTTATCTTACGAAAAATCTTTTCGTTCATCAAATATGTTGAACTGATAAAATTTATATCTCTTATTTCCCAAGCCTGATAAAATTATACTTACACTTTCTTGATAGGTGAGATATATCATGTTTGATACGTTTTTGTTTATAGGTAATAAAAAATTCGCAAACCAAAATAATGGCATAATTATAATAAACGATTTTATATTTATCTTTATTTTTTTAGAATATCAACGTAAAATAGCAGCTTCATGTTGCTGTGTTTCGTATAGTGAGGTCAGAGGACCAGAGAACATTTTTTAACAGGCAACGAAGTATTCTATCTTTGTACTTAGGGGTAACAGCGTTTTGATGCTTAATCAAAATCAGATATAGATGTCTATGGGTCGCAGCACCTATTCACAATCAAGGCGTGTGCTTGTTGTTGTTATTCTATAAAAATATATATAAAAAATTCACAATTATGTAATATATTTTTAGCCGACTATTCCAACAGTAATGTATTCGAGTGTATGTGTTAATTTTAAAAACGAGTAGTGATTACTAATATACACGGGATTAATAACATATACTGTACGCCTTAAGGTAAGTGGTGGCTGTGCTCTAATAGACACCTATATTTCACCTTTATTAGAATCAAAATACATACGTTGTCTTACTTCTGACTATGAGAAACTTAGTATTATCCTGTGGGTTTCGTTAGAGGTGACAAATGGAACGGGAACAAGAGATGAGCAGCAGTATTTTCCCGATTACAACCTAAAATACTGCCAAATGCAGCAACTGTAGCCAAGCAACGCACTTTTGAGAGGCTGTAATGACGGTGACGACTGACCATGCAGAACATAGTGTCCTTAAACTGCTATTGTACACTGGTATTTTTTATCACTTTCTACTATCTACAATGCTTGAAGATCGTTAAATTGAATGAGTTGTTAAGTTCACATTCATCTCCATAGAGGTATGAGCTCTATGATGGTGATCATACCATTCGATGGACACAAAAAAAAAACAATATGGCGCTTGCTTGTAGCGCTTTTCAGAGAACGTGTTTATAAAAACCTGTTACTGCAGTCGGTTTGTAAATTTTATTCATACTTATAACTGACCCGTCTACACCTCGGTAAGGTCTGTTAATGTAGTGTTATTTAGATTTAACATAATTGAATACCATTTAGTTGCCAAATCTTTAATTATGGTTAAACAAATCTTTAAGTTTTTCGGATAATATATAGCCTGGATAAATTCTGGTATTGCTCTCTATTTATTTCTGAAGAAGTCTCATCAAAATCGGTTCAGAAGATTTAAAATGGTTAATTATGTTCCCCCTGAGCTTAGAAACAAATTATTTCAATAATACAGATAGATACTCTAATTTTACTTATACGTGGAAGATAATTTTATACGTGCTAGATACTTTTATACGTGGTAGAGCCATGCTGCAGTTAAGTTAGTAGTATAGTTGTAGCACAAATGGCTCGACCGGGGAAGGACCACGCTCTCATAGAATACCAGCGTAAAATAGTAGCTTAATGCTGCTGTGTTTCGTATGGTGAGTGTAGAGAACCGGAGATCCTTTTTACTGGAAACGAGTCATTCCACACGCATCTGCATCTGCGACAACGCATCTGCATTTTGATTCGTAATCAAGAATAGATGTAGATGTTTATAGGCCACAGGAACCACTTACCACCAGATGGACTGTGTGCTCCTATGTCAACCTATCCTACAAAAAAAATATGTTTAGGTTTACCGGTCAATTATTATTTATACGTATTGTATACTTACATTTTTGGTAAGCAACAGCGTTAAAAGTGCCGATGATTTGAGAAGGAGTGTAGACTGGATGAGTCATTGGATTCACGCTGAGCACTGCATCATTTTGAAAGACATTTTGCAGTAAGAGCACGAATTGGTCCATCATCCGCCATTCTGGTAGCACCTATAATTACGAATGAATACTTAAAAATAGGTCTGATTTCGAAGTGAAATTTCTTTAACGATGTAGTGGAGAAATTTAGTAAGGTATTAAAAAGAGTATCACGTTGTCTTATAACGTTTCAACCCAGCGGCTGTATAAGTATATAATTATTTAACCTACTTATGTAAAATAAAAAATAAAAGAAGTTCCGTAAAGAAATTCCACTTTGTACGTTACGTTAAATACATGAATATGTTTTATTGGTATTTTACTCGTCCTTCATCCATCCATCCATTCACATCCCTCCATAGTCTAAGAACTCCGCTGCTGAACGTGGGCCTCTCTTGTATATTTCCATTGAGGGGATTTTGCAACAGTTTCCACGCTTGGCAGGTAGATTGGCAACCGCATTTCCCTGCCCATCTCCTATTTAATTCCTTTCTGTCGTGTCTTACTTATTACACAATAAAAATATAAACTAAATTACACACACACACACACACACACACACACACACACACACACACACACACACACACACCCGCATACATACACGTGCGTGCATACGCACACGCACACGCACACGCACACGCACACACACACGCACACGCACACACGCACACACACACGCACACGCACACGCGCACCAACACGCGCACGCACACGCATAGGCACACGCACACGCACACGCACACGCACACGCACATGCACACGCACACGCACACGCACACGCACACGCACACGCACATGCACACGCACACGCTCACGCACATGCACACGCACACGCAAACGCACTCGCACATGCACACGCACACGCACATGCACATGCATACGCACACGCACACGCACACGCACACGCACACGCGAACGCACACGCACTCACGCACACGCACACGCACACGCACACGCACACGCGCACGCACACGCACACGCACATGCACACGTTCACGCGCATGCGCACGTGCACGCACTCACACATGCACACGTACACGCACTCGCACACGCACACGCATACTCACACGGACACGCACACGCACATAGACACACATATACGCATAAATGTATGTGAAAGTGACCATAATCTTCCTCAAAATATATACACTAGCAGCGAAAATAGCGGTATTGCTCCAGGAGTGTTAGCTGATGTCTGCCAAGTGTAATAAGTACGGTAAATTATATTTTAGCATAGGCCTAATGGTAACCAATGGAGAAGAAAGCTTCATGCCAGTAAGCGGAGTGTAGAGCGCTGGATAACCCCACTAGATGGAGTAACAACCTGATGAGACATGCTAAAAGTGAATCGAAAGTGTTCATCATCATCATCATCATTACAGCCTTTCACAAGTCCACTGCTGAACATAGGCCTCCCCCAAGGTATGCCACAAATCACGGTCCTGAGCCACCTGCATCCATCGACTTCCTGCATGTCTTACCAGGTCGTCACTCCATCTAGTGGGGGGTCGCCCTACACTTCGCCTACCAGTACGAAGCTGCCACTCCAGAACCTTTTTTCCCCAACGGTTGTCGGTTCTTCGAGCTATATGGCTGGCCCATTGCCACTTCAGCTTACTAATTCGTTCGGCTATGTCGATTACTCTGGTTCTACTGCGGATATCCTCATTTCTAAGTTTATCACGCAGAGAAACTCCGCGCATAGCCCTCTCCATAGCTCGCTCAGCGACTTTAAGCGTCCTCATACGGCCAACAGTGAAGGACCACGTCTCGGTTCCGTAGGTCAGGTCTCGTCAGGTATACCTCAAAATCTAAAAACAAAGCTGTACAACTGTACAGAAAGTGTTCAGTGCAGGCCTTTCGTCAATATTCCACTGCAGTGGAATATTGACAAAAGGCCTAATGATAAGGAGAAATAGAATATACTTACCAAGTCAGTGGCGAAGTTTTCAAAGAAGTTTGCGAAACCTTCGTTCAGCCAAGTATAAGTCCAGGTAAGTGGGCTGACTTCGTTGCCGAACCACATATGGGTGTTCTCGTGACAAATGATTCTGCCAATGTTTTGTTTGGTACTCGTAGTCGTAATGCCATCTTGTACCAGGAGAGCTATTTCCCTAATGAATACATTTTTATATATTTTTATATATAATGCACACAATAGAAAAAAAAAAACAATTTCAAATTTTGTTATATCAAAAGCATATTGCTTTGTAGGCTATGGCAATGTAAAAGGTGTATGTATAAAATATTTAAAAAAAACATGATAAACAAAAATCTAACTTGAAAATAAGGTAAAAACCGTCATTAAATAATCGTTCAGACTAAGAAATACAAAATAATTCTCACACAATAGCGTTTGAAGTCAGTGCTAAGACATTATGTATCGAAATATTAAAACTCATATTTCAGAAGCTATCCTGCGATGTGAAATGAATTTCATATTTTTTAGATTTTGAAGTCGGCCTTTTCTCCTTTTATTTATAGTTTTTCTCCCTTGTTCTCCCTGTGTAGACTAAGCTTTGTATAGGCTCACAAGTTAACAAATAAAATTTATATAACATTAATAGTATCAGGCGTTACTTTGCGGAAATCCATTATACTAAAGTTATAAAGAATTAATTCGCACACATCCGCTCAATAAAATAAAATGATGTTGTGTCTTACCTAGTTAGAAGAGCACCTCCCGCCCTTCCACAACTACTCTACTATACTCACTTCTCTACTCTACTATACTACTTTACTATGCTCTCTTCTCTACTCTACTTTACTACTAAGCTATACTACTCTACTATACTACTCTACTATACTATACCCTACTATAGTGGCGCTGGGATTAGTGGTGACTTGATTATTGGGAATTGAGGGAGGGCGGGAAGTGCTCTTTAGGCTAGGTAAGACACATTATATTATTTTATTGAGCGGACATGTGCGAATTAATTCTTAACAACTTTAACTAAGATGTCGTCTAAATTGTTACATTAAAAACTTTATTCCCTATTTTTACTTGCAGCTAACATTTTACGATAAAAATCATATAGCACCACTAATAAAGTATACCCTGCTAAATGAAGATATATTTATAGATAATATATTATACAGACGAGTTGAAAACCTCTTTTTTAAATTCATTTAAAATTTATATGAAATAAAAAAAACATTATATATAATTAAGACGTATGCAAGAATTAATACATGCATTAGGGTAGTTTATAAGAATGGTAATAATTATAAGTTTATTGAACACTAGCAAGAAGTCCCGCCGCTAACTGAGAAAATAATACCTATATTTTATTATTTTAGGATAGGTGTATTACTAAGTAACAGCCTATATATATTATGTACTTTTTACAGAAGAAGCGGCAAGCCAGCGTGCGATTTACTAGTAAGTGATAACCGTCACCCTATAATATTGTATTTTAGATCAAATTTCTTTCCCGGTGGTGAGTCTAATAGGTTGTAACTTTAATTTTTTTAATTTTTAAACTTTTGTTAAAATGTTATAAATAAAAAGCTAGGTTTTAAATATAAAAAGTGCTGCATTGACGGCGACCGGAAAAATATGCACGGAAAAATTGTTCAGTTTTTTTTGCGCAGTTTTTCATTGCGATATCTACCTCCTCAGAGGCTAATTTAGTGAGTACACATTTGTTTCAATTGCTCTTTGTTAATGAATTCAGGCCTAGTTAGCAACGTAAATGGTCTATAAATGACAAGAATTTCTAATTGTGACGAGTCTGAACGTGAGACATGAACTAGAAGTGCTCAAATTAAGACTTTAATTAAAAAGACAAGTTGTTGTAGTTGGTCATAATATAATATTTAGAATGATTTTATTACGTTTTATTATTTGAATATTCTATGTAATTTTTACCGACTTAAAAAGGAGGAGGTACTCAATTCGACTGTATATTGTTAATGTATTAAAAAAACCTCAGAATTTATTTATAGGTGAACCGATTGTACCTTTTTACGGGAAACGAGGTATTCCATATAAGTCCTCAGAGCTGGCAACGCATCTGCATTTTGAATTTTAACCCTTCAAGCGCCATAAAAATCCCATGCAGTCGCATGCGCCTGGCAATTCTCGAGCGGTCGCATGTGACCGCACCCACTCACAGCACTTAAAAGCATTAAAACTTATATTTAGAGACTACTTTTCTATGAAGAAGTTTAGCATTACAAAATCCATACAAAATTCTCTATCATGTACTCTAAACAATAGTCAGGTTTTACTTCATTACAAAAAGATTTTATTGTATTTTGATAACAAAAAAAATACCAAGCGAATGTCGGCCGCGTGAAAATCACAATTCAAAATCACAATTATTTCATTATATATTACCCAAAATAATTTACATAAAAAGATAAATTATATTCACACAAAAATTTTCATTGCAATTTTATAATAAAACACTATACTAAAACAGTAATAAAATACTAAAAACTAAGAAAAATCCAAAAATCTACACAATAACATTCACATGAAAATGGCGTACGCAATGAACATAGATTATAAATAAATATTCATAGGATAACAGTTTTTTTATTGCACTAAAAGATATAGTATTGCATATTGATTATATAATGCTAAACTTCAGATCACAATTATTTTAATATATATTACACAAAATAATTTACATAAAAAAGATAAATTATATTCACACAAAAATTTTCATTGCAATTTTATAATAAAAGACTATACTAAAACAGTAATAAAACACTAAAAAACTAAGAAAAATCCAAAAATCTACACAATAACATTCACACGAAAATGGCGTACGAAATGAACGTAGATTATAAATAAATATTCATAGGATAACAGTTTTTTATTGCACTAAAGGATATAGCATTGCATATTGATTATATAATGCTAAACTTCTTCACAGAAAAGTAGTCTCTAGATATAAGTTTTTAGGGGTTATAGTGCTGTGGGTGGGTGCGACCTCAAGAGACCGCTAGGGATTTGAAGGAATATAGCCGCGGTCTCATGACACCGCTAGAGGGTTGTTGAGAAGTTAATTGAAGATGAAAAGTAGATCTATGGGCCACAGCATGCACGTAACATCAGGTGGACTTTGTGGTCGTTTATCACCCTTGTAGTATAACAAAGTCCTTATTCAGATGAATCTGTAAGAGCCGTATCGGCTAACATCACATATTAAAGATGACAGACGACTAGTTTTTTTTTATAGAATGAGTGTGACGAATGAGCACACAATCCACCTGGTGATGGTAAATGTATGATGTGGCCCATTGATATCTACATAATATAAGAATCAAAATGCAGATGCGTTGCCATCTTTGTAGGTTAAGATGGAATACCTCTTTTCTAGCATAAAGGTTTTCCGATTCTTTACACTCATCATACGAAACATAGCAGCATGGACCTATTATTGTGAAAGCGTGGTCTTTCCCCGATCGAACCAACCCATTCGTGGCACAATAAATAATTATTTGATCAAAGCAACTTACCTGTAAGTGTCCTTCGATCAAAATTATATAAAGTTGACGCCTCCTCAGTGTTTGTATACTATGTAGTCATAAATTGACGGATCACGAGTTTTAACCTTCCGGGGTAAAAGTAATATTTTTATTGGTATCCCAACCTATGTACTCCCACTGGCAACAATATACACCTCATGTCATTGTGAATTTATATCCACCAGAATTGGGAAAAAATAATTAAAATGCAAACAAGCCCTTAGGGTGGGTAATAATATACAGCAGGGTGGGACTGTACACAGAGGGGGCGTCAACTTTATATAATTTTGATCGAAGGACATTTACAGGTAAGTTACTTTGATCAAATAATTATATTCTGTGTTTGTATACTATGTAGATGTTTAATTGTTTAAAGTTACTTCATTTTAATTACTTACTGTCATAAATTATCATAATTAACAATTTACAACAAAACAAACAATAAGCATAGTATATAAATTTAGATAATACAATTTCCCATAATGAATTATTGTTAATTTATTTTATACTTTTAAAATCCTCTTAATTAATAATGGCCTCTTATAATAAACGTAAAAAGTCTCAGATGTAAGATTGTTGCCTTTCTAACACTTTTAGTATCATCAATACCACTTCTTCAAGAACGCGAAGGGAATGAATGCCTGGTACTATGTACAGTAAAAAGTAACGTATTTTCTTGTTAAAATACTTTACCTAACTAGCTGTTTAATTTATAGCAGGAATATTAAGCAGTTTTTAAAATTAACAACTAATTTACTGAATTTTATACAGTTTTAGTGACATACAACTGATATTGTGAGGTAACTGATACACGTGGAAAAATTAAAAACTGCACAACCGACTTCAATATAAATAAAATGAGAAGATCATCAATGTATTCAAAGTTAATCAAATACGCATTAATGACAACTCAAAAATCACTAGTCAGATCCCGAGTAAATCTAGGAGGTCTCACTTGAAGCAGCGGCTCAATTCAAATAAAAAAAGGACTCATCAAAATCGGCTCACCCAGAGAAAAGCTATGAGGCAACACATATAAAAAATATACAGTCGAACTGAACACCTCCTCCTTCTTGAAGTCGGTTAAAAATACTCATATTTTCTCTTACTACTGTATATTTCTTTGCTTTTTCTTTTTGATGAAATTCAGCTTTGGGAACCAAATTATGTTAGACTTCAGCTTTGATTGTATTCTAGTTTTTATTTTTCTTCCTATAAACACCAGAAAAGAATTGTTTAACTTCACAGTATGTTCTGACTGTATAATATAGTATATTTCTTACTTTATCTACCATGAATTTAGACAATAGACATATTTTAAATACAGATAAGGGCATATTTTTATGCTTTACATACATAAGTGCCTCTTTGACAGCACTGCCACAGCAAGGTAAGTTTAGATCAAAGGAGATCTTACATAATAGTTGTTGACCAAGGTAAGAATTTCAATAAGTCGTTTTTTAACATTGATTTAGTAACAGGCTTATGAATACTAGAAGGTTATTTCTTCTTCTGCATTCCGTTTGAAGATTGTGGAGAATAGTGCGTAAAACTTAGGGTTAACCCATGAATTTTATGCATTTATATTTTTTCTAATAGCAAATGCATGAACTTAAGTTGATCTATTACTTTTGGATAAAATCTTTTAGATAATCTTTTTATAGGTTTAGGAATTTGACTCCATTATATTTTATTATATTTTATTTCGCCATTAGTTTTCCTGGATTCTTTGCATACGAATAAAATAAGGTCAAGTGAATTTGCTTACCTCTTTAGCTGTGTTTACACCTATTCTTTTTTTCTTGATGGTTGTACTTGGTGCCTGCCACATATTACTTGATAGTATCACCTCTGCTGGTATAAAGCAACTGCTGGAGGCTATTGCATGTCTAGTGAGTTGTTACTGCTGGAGACAGGTCCCAATAATTAAAAGGTTTCTGAATGTTTGTTTTAGATTTATGAAGATCCTTTGATCTTTTTAAAATAAAATTCTGTACAAAATAAGAAGTCACTTGAGTTTCCTTTAAGAGCTTTCTTTAGTATTGCATATTAGCAGTAATGCTCTTCTTAAAGGAGCCTTTAAATTGCATAAGGCACATAACAGTCTAATGCAGTTATTTACAGCATCATTATTTTCTTCATCAATCTTCTTGATAAGATCTATACATACAATGTTGAAATTTGAAAGTATATGGCTCTTTTTTCACATAAACTTCTATCTCTGATTTGGCACTTGTTAAAAAAAGAATGTAATTTGGAGAATGCTGTGTGAAACAGAACCTTTATCTTCCTCATCACTTGAACAAATAATTTTTCTCCTCTTATGTCCCGAAAATGAGTAAGATCAGTTGTGAAAATATCCTCGTGTATACGCCAGTGGACCCGCGGGTATATTAACCCTTGCATACATTTTTTAGAGAAAAAAAAGATACGAATGTTCATATGAAATAGAATCCAATGCCTCATGTAACCCCTCGTGACACCGCAAGCCAAATACGTAATGTATAGACTCGTTCTGTCTCAAACATAGATTTTTACTGCGTTTTTATTAGACTGTAAGCAATAATATTATATACATTTTGGTAGTAAATATAAACATATTAATATTCATATAAAATGAAATTCAATGCCTCGTGTACCCCCTCGTGGAACCGCAAGGCAGATATGTAATGTACAGACTCTCCTTCTGTCTCATACATAGATTTATGTTGCGTTCTATTACGCTATAATTAATGATATTGTATACACTTTAGTAGTAAATATGAACGTATGAATATTGATTTATAGTAGAATTCAATGTCTCGTATCGTCGTATTGTCGTCGCACCGCAAGACAGATAATATGTAATGTACCGACTTTTGCTCTGTCTCATACATTGATTTTATATTGCTATTTTATTAATCTACCCTACAGGTTTTTTAAAATACGTATTCAATACATAAATACAATATACATACTAGGTTTATTGAAAAATTATGTACTTACAGATGCTCGTTTTGATTCGAATATAGATTTCACATATCGCGTTATAGTTAATCTACCCTACAAGTAATTTAAATGCAAAAATTACAAACATTGCAATCGTCCAAAACGTTTATGAGTATTAAAAAATTAAGTTTTATATTGTTGCTAATAATTAAATTAAGAACATTCACTTAAAAACCAATTTTAAACTTAATTTAAAGGTGCGACTCGCTAATTCGGCACAAAAAATTCACAATGACATGAGGTGTATAGTGTTGCCAGTGGGAGTTCATATAGGTTGGGATACCAGTAAAAATTTTATTTTCCCCCGGAAGGTTAAAACTCGTGTGATTTGGTTCATCAATTCATGACTACATACGAGGGCGACACTGAAAATTTTGGGAATCAAGGAAGTGACACAACACTACTATTTAAAAATGTATTTATTGCTTTTCGAAGTATTCTCCACGAAATTTGATACATTTTTCCATACGATGGAACCAATCATTGAAGCAACCATTCCATTCGGAAGTTAGGGTCTCCAAAATGACCGTTTTGTAGGCGTCCACAGCTTCTTCAGGTGATGAAAATCTCTGTCCACGCAATTAATTCTTTATTTTAGGGAAAGTATAGAAATCATTAGGGCTTAGGTCGAGGCTGTACGGCGGATGGTCTAATAATTCTATGTTTTCTTGCTCTAAAAAACTCTTTTGTTCTGTGTGCGGTGTGAGAACTCGCATTGTCGTGATGGAGGATGATGCGGCGGTTGCAGTTCTCTTTACGGAGTTCAGAAACGACCTGTGGCAAACAAATGCTAGCATATCATTCTACATTAACCGTTCTTTGTCCCTCAAGAGGAATAGTCGTAACATGGCCGGTTTTGGTGACAAACGTGGCCACCATTTTTTTTTGCAACACTCCGTGAACGAACAATTTTTATTGGCTTTAACTCATTTTCGAACACCCAAACTCGTGACTGGTTTTTTGTTTCAGGTTCGTACGCGTATATCCAGGATTCGTCACCTGATACGATGTTGTATACAACATTTGAGGATCCTGCGTGGAATCTTTCGAGAGTTCTGACGCACCAAGTAACGCGAGCCGCTTTTTGCTCTTCACAGAGCGAATGCGGTATCCATCGAGAAAACAACTTTTTTACACCTAATTGTTCATGCAAGATTATTTGTATTTGACTCATGCCAATTTCTAAAGTTGCCTGAATTTCGTGGTATGTCACATGTCGATCTTCCTCAATCAGCTTACGCACAGCATCAACGTTTTCTTGGGTCACTGCAGTTTTTGGACGACCTTGATGGGGATCATCACTGAGCTTGACACGTACACGTTGAAATTCAGCAAACAAGCGATAAATTGTGGTTTTGGATAGGGCTTCATCAACAAATGCAGAAATCATCCGATCAACACACTGTTTTTGTGTTAAACTACTTCGAAAGTCATAATAAATCATCGCTCTTGAATTTTCTCGAGTCAATTCCATTTTATCAACGACTAAACAAGTTTGACAAAACCTTGTGACAAGAGAATCTTTTTTTTAAATAAATAAATGGTATTCGATTTTTAAAACCAAGGAGTTTTCAATTAAAAAGATTTTAATATGACAGGAACAGTGGAAATATTCCATTCCTGATACTTTTAGTGCAGCCTAGTAGTATACAAAGACAGAGGAGGCGTCAACGAATGTACCTCATATAGCTGCAGCATGGCTCTACTATTAAAATATACGGAAAACATAAAAAATAAATATAGTTTGCCACAACGTGGCATCGTCTGTCTAAACAAGAAACTGAATCATCGTGTGGGCAGCAGCATCGTCTTGGTAAGAGATCAATAATCAAAAATCTGTGGTTGCCAACCCGAATACCAAGTGAAATAATTATGGCAAATATAAGAGACAGAGACCCCGAAGAGTTTACTTCTAGAACCATACCATCGATGATAACGTTCGAAATACCATACGTCTCATGCATGTAATGCTGCCCTTTAACCACCGGTTCGGTGTGAACTAGGTGGTGATACCTTTAGATCTTTTTGGCATTTTCACAGTCGCCTCTTTCAACATCACCCCTGTATATAGGGTAATATAATCTCTTGTGACGTCACCACACTCCTATAGATTCTAAAGTTATTTGATAGTATACAAACAAAAAGATAAGAGTAAAAAAACAAACCTGTAAATAACAAGGCCCCAGTTCTCCATAGCCCCGGCAGCAAAATCAGGTACAGCGGCTTTGTCCATCTTTGGGAAGGCGTAAGCAAACTCTGTATAATTCTCCAAAGCGATCATGTTTCTTTGACCGAAATCCAAGGCAAAAGAGGACGTGTTTTGGGTACCCGGTCTGGAGTAGACTCTAAATGGTATATTATAAATGGGGCTCTGTTCGTTGGTGACGTATTCAAATTTAGAAACTAAATAGGCTACGAGGTACGATGACATCACCAACGTGTCTTGAAATTCAAATTTACGGAATCCCTCCACGTCAGGTCTGAAAGCAATAATTAAATTAATACATAATAATATTTAAAATTACTCTCACAAATTACATATATGTTCTTGATATACGAAAGTGTGTAAAAGTATTATACATACTTCAAAAGATCAGTCCTTTCAGGCATGTTGCTTCTTACCACTGGATATTCAGGAGGTGCATAAATGGTTGTTCTGAATACGGCTTTATAAGAAGGCTCATCGTAACACGGAAACGCTCTTCGAGCGAAAGTAGGTTGCAACTGTGAAGTAATAAGTCGCCTGAAAAAAATGTTGATATAAGGCTTTCAGGTGACTTATAAAAATTGTGACTTTTTCATAGTCTATGTTAAATAGTACCATAATCATAAAATCCTATTAAATATCCACTACTGAATATATGCCACCCCTATAGTTTACCTCATATAGAACATACTTGCCATAGTTGCCACGCTTGGCAAGTGGGTTGGCAATAGTAGTTTTTTTTAATATTTTGTGTTAACATCAGAAAGATGCTACGGCACACCTTCTGTTTCATTTCCCTCTGTCTGTTAAATGCAAGCAATTACTTAATTTTATAATATAGTTACATCCTATTTACGTTCTCTGTTTGTCCAAGATCAACAAGGTACAAGATCCTCATCTTTCCTTTTATTTTGAAGTTTTAAGTCTTTTAAGTCAAATAAGTATCCACCACGCTGCTTTAATGCATGTTGACTAACTCAATAATATGGGTTTGAAAATTTCTACTGCTACTGGCTTCTTTATATGTTTTCCTTAACCGTTGAGCACGTGGTAAATCGGGTCTAAAATTTCAATTAAAAAATTTATTGGCCGGTCGGGGTGGAACGTGGGCTGCTTGCATAATGTTACCGCTGAGCGCTTTGCCCCTGAGCTACCACGGCTTTCTATTTATTTGTAATTTTATACATTAATACTAAAAGATATTACACGCACTAAAATCGTAAAAAAGGAAAAGAGATCAAGGTAGTGGAAACTTTTTCACCTTTAGAAAGCTGAAATATTTTGTATCTGTGATTTTTGATATGATATCATATGGTAAAATTAGGGATCCGTTCTAAATTACAACACAAGTAAATCGAGATGAATCAAAAAATATAATTTTCTTTGCCTTGACTGAACCATATGAGATTTTACACAGAGTAGGCCCACCACAGAGGAAACATTATTAAATTACACGTGCACAACTGTAAGTAAACAGCTTACCAATATAAATAAACATTTTTAAATTTGATACATATTATTTTAATATATAGTTTGATTATATGGATAAGACTAAAAGTTAATATTAAAAAGTTAAAGATAGCCGGGCTAAGTGTAACATCGTTACGTTAATAATCTTAGTCTCCCCGTGAACATTTTCATTTACAGCAGTAAAGCATTCGCACAGCGTGGAGTTTTAAAAATAAATTAAACAAGTAAATTAAAATCGCTAAAATCCATAAAATCAGTTTAACTCAATGGCAACTATGGTGGATTTTCACCGCCTCTCCACGGCTAATAATTATAAAAATAATGACAGGCTTTGGAGCGAATAATAGATATATTTATAGAAGATACTTTTACTGGTAACTCAGGGGGTGAAAATGCATCTACCTATACCAAATTTTGATTTTTAATCTAGAAAAGGTGAGGTCGTCTACGTGCCAGATCATCAATTCACCATCAAAATCAAACAAATCATCACAAAAATGAGAGGAAGCCTGTACACAGAAGTGAGACGTATATGAACTGCTACTCTGTTTTTACTTTAGATTGTGTGCTCGTTTGTCACACTTATTCTATAGACAAAAGAAAATACGTTATACGCTAATACTTACTCTGTACCCACACCAGGCTCTTCGTAAGTAGAGAGATATATACCAAACATATTATCAGCATATTGACCAATGTAGCTGATTTGCACGGTATATGGTTGCGCTGCTATCAGAGGTGTACTAGTACTGATTTTCAAAAAATGAGTATCATCTGTAGCTAGACTGAAATTTTGAAAGATGTTCTGTTGAGGGTTGCTGTCGCTTGTGACAATGATACTGTTGATTTGCATTTCCATTGCATGAATGACGATCTCGTTCGTATTCATGACGGGAATAATCCTGATAGAAACATCCCCGTTGAACGATTCCGAAACGTTTGGATCCAAGAAGAGACGGACGTCGTATAAAGTCGGATAAGATTCTCCAGGCAATAAGTAGTGTTCATAGTTGACATTTTTAGTGGCACCATCTTCAATACTCAACGGGACGCTTATCACCGACCCCAGTAGGGATACAAGTAAAAGTAAATACATATCTGAAAATAAAATTTATTTCATTAGTAATTGATGTATTCGTCCAATTGACACACACACACACACACACACACACACACACACACACACACACACACATACACACACACACACACACACACACACACACACACACACACACAAATAGAATTTTATTTCATAATTTTGGCCTGTTACAGGCAGACAATTCAATAAATAGCTCGTAAAGCGGATGACTTTCTATCTATATGCATTGTTTTTCTTAACCTATTATATATAAAAGGGGGAAAGATTGACGGGTAGGGGGTACTTCGTCAGCGATATTTCGGGTTTATGTTATGACTGAAACTGGGTGAAAAAAAATGCTTGAACCTGCAGGCCATCCCTAGAACTTCTCGTTAATTTCACTATCTAAATGCTCCAAATTCTACTTATCATGACGTGTTCTCTCTCTCTCTCTCTTTCTCTGTTTTCGAGCTTAAAAACGTCATAATTTTGGAAAACCGCGATTTTTTATTTTTTGTAATTGAACCAATCAACCGATTTTGATGCGATTTACGCCAGTTGACGCAATTTTTTAGATTAACAAGAAAGTATATTACAAAAAATTGATTTTACGAAAAGTTTTAAAGATATTTTGAAATAACACCTTTTCGAGATTTCTATTGTTAACGATATCTCGAACGTATCATCCGATTTTGATGCGGTTTACGGCAATCGACGTAGTTTTTTGAGTGCAAAAGCTCATTACTATAATCTAATTCTTTATATAATTGATCGAAATAAGGGTGTTGAATTATTTCCAAGAAAAATACCTTTTAAAAACTAAAACTACTCGAATCTTTGAGTTTTTTCAGAATCAACCGTGACGATTCGGTCTAAATTCACAGAAATTTTAAGTTCAGCAAGGCTCTTTCAGATGCCAAAAACAGCTTTACGATCGAACACTCCGTTACAAAGTTATGAGACGTAAAAATGTTTACCTACACGCACACACACAAAATACATACATACAGACATACGGACATCATCCCAAAAAAAGGCCAGCACACCTTCCTAAGACCTTGAAACGTCGAGATTTGACGAGACCTCGATTTTCAAAAATCGGGGTCAAAACAATAACTTCATTGACTTTCATAGCGGGATGTTAAAAAAACATGTGTGCCGTTCACACGCGGTAGAAGCGAAAACTTAAGAAAAGGAGATTGAGATAATATTAAACACTGTATATTATATTCCATATCATATCTCGCAGACTAAGTCCTATTGATGCATATGTTTCACGTGTCGGATTACCCATCTTAGTCGTAGTACTTTGAGAGTGAGAGTCCAATAGGACTCTCACTCTCAAAGAAGAAGAAGAAGAAGAGATCAGGCGCAGGGCCAAAGGTTATTCATGCTACCGACACACGGGGGTAAAATATCGCAAGTTTCCTGACTCCCGAATGCTACTGAGATTCTAGATAGAAAAACCAAGTATCAGATTTTTCCCTACCAAGCACATAATCCAAACCTTATAGTAAGTGGATGCTGTGATCTACACTCATCTTCGTACGTTGTCACCGCTGAAGGTTAAGATAGAATGCCTTGTTAATAGTAAAAATAATTTACGGAAATCATCATAGGAAAGACATATTTCACGCTGGTATTATGTAAGAGCATGGTCTCTTCCCGGTCGAGCTGACTCATTCGCGCTATAAACATAATACAGTTGCAGCATAGCTAAAACATATAATTGAAATATGTATTCCTGGTGTAAGTCTTTTAAAAAGTGTTGATTAAAGCTATGCTATCTTGTTATCTAAAACTATCAGTAAATTATATTGCTTGCAAGATTATAAATCAATTTTTTGTAGACATTTTTATATGTTTATAATAAAATTAGATTAAAATACAGCAATATATTTCAATTTTTTTTAATGGAACTCATGCAAAGAATATGATAAGTATTTGCTATCGCTTTGAAATATACCAAAAATGTAGTTGGACTGGGCTTATATTTCTATATTTTATATATTTTATATCCGCTGTCTACAAAAATATAAGAAAGAATAAGATGTAAGATTATCTACTACCATGAAGTTAGAGCATAGGATGGGAAGAAGTTTTTTACAGATAACAATTGAAAATACTAATATAACCGTCTTTGCCAACTCGTCTTCCAAACGTCAATGTCAACATCTTTCCTATGAGGCAATTTGTGAGGACGTCATGCTCAGCGGTGGCCGTTTGAAAGGATGCTATTTAATTGTACAAGTTGATTATTATTTAAAAAAATAGATGCTGGATTCAAACAACCATGAGATAAAATGGGTGATAGATATATAGAATTTACTCGGACGTAGAAAATAATTTTACGTTGTTTTTTAAGTTTAGGTAACTTTATTATTTTTAGATAGTAGACCTTAATATAATCTAGTCAAGGCTAAAGATATAGGGAAGATAAATATCGAAGTCATATCTTAGTAATATACAATGCAATTAAGTTTTTAGAAATAATTGCAAAAGAAAATTGCTATATTTTCAAAATTTGCCATATTACTTTTCTTGGATTTTTTGTCACTGTTATATATTATTATTTTTTATAATAAAACTATTTTATTCGGGTATAATTACTTTTGAATGGCCGGATCCCAACAGTGGAACATAACTTTATTATTTTTGAGTGTTGAAGTATGTAGATGGCTCAGAGCGTGCCTTTTGAAAGTTGCGATGATAGCTTCTGATAAAAAAGACCAACTATTTTCAAACGAGAATCTCTCGATACCATCTACACCATCTGGATGCTTGGCGGTCCACTGTATGTTTCACGAGAAGTTTTCTTCCGCGTACGACCTCTCTGTGGAATAATTTACCACCGGCGGCATTTTTCAGGACTGGGGACCTTCAAGAAAAGAGCTTACTCCTTTCTAAAGGACCGGCAACGCACCTACAATTCCCCTGATTTTTCGGTTGTTCATACGCTTTGGTAGTCACTTAAGATCAGGTGAACCATGTGCTCGTTTGCCCCCTCTTCTATAAAAAAAAAACGCGGCTCTGCCTTTGTTTATAATAATGATGATGACGATTGGTCGATTGTAAAATTTTACCTAACGATACCTACCTATTGATATAATAATAGTTATTAACATAACCTTTCCTCCTAACCTTTGAAAATTCCACTGCTTAACATAGTCCTCCCCATAGATTGCGTGATAACGCTTACCTACCAAGCCAAGGGTTGATAAACGCTATTCTATTTAGTTGTTCAAAGAAAGAAATGATGCCCGCGTTGGGTATCTTGGACGATATAAGAGAAAGTTGAGATTCATACACCGCCACTATATGGTCCTAAATAATAAGTAAATTAACGTTTATTTATAATATGTAATTAAATTTGCACCAACTATGAAAATAAATTGTTGTGAAATAAATGTTCACTTCTGAGCCCCTAAGGTTAGGGGATTGTGAAACTCAAAGGCTATGGATTCCATTCCACCATTCAACTACTTCCATGAACCGCTCCGTGCACAAGTTTAACTTAAGTTTAAGCTTAGCAAATAATTTCATGTTTAATTAAAGTGATTATAGGGAATATTAGTAGAGTTGTTAGTATTGTCATAATATTTTTCCTTAAAAAAAGAAAACAAAAACTGGACACTATATATACTAAAATAATCTAGATGATAAGTTTTAAAGTAACTTAAAGAGTTGCAAATACAAAGGAGTTTGTAGTATAAATAAAAAATATGTACTTACTTATAATATGTATTTACTTATAAACTGCCATTGACTGAATGATCTAATTTGATAATGTTTAAGTAGTTGTTGAGACTCTATTAGGGTTCCTCAAGTATTTTTTTTTTCAAAAATATTTGAAAATTTTACACTATTCATATGGGTACATATTTAATTTTTATGTTTTATAACATTATAGTTATATGGTTGACCTGATCGAGGTAGCTACTGGGATCTTGAGTTAAACTTTTCTTCCTTTAACAAAGAAGCTACATCTCAGATTACAGAAATGTGACTACATGTGGACTGTCATTTTTGAGAATAAAATTAATAAGTCTTACTGCCCTTAATTATACCGATTTTTAACCGGAACCGATCTTTTTAACCGGACAAAGCGTTGCAAGAAGAAGTTTTAGACAAAGCTTCATAAAAAAAGAAGAAAGGAAAATAAAATATACAGATACTGAGAAAACCTTAAACTTAAAGGTCACCCATACACCTCCCTTTGCACCCAAATCATTTAAATATAAAGGCATTTGTCCCAACGTTTTCGTATTCGATATAGTTATAATACTTGTACAAAGACTGAATGCAGTCTAGCATGTAGGTAAATAAATAATGAAAAAAAAACAAGGCAATAAGACTTATTCTGCCCATGAGTTTATCAGGGTAGGTACAATCCTATTATCTACATAGCAGTGCAATACTTTATTTTGGTGAGACGTATAATTATAGGGTCTTTAAATTAGTATTTATATTATGTGTACGTGGTATAGAGCCATTTTGCAGCTATATTATAATTGCAGCACGAGTGGGTCGGCTCCACCGGGTAAGAAACTCGCTTTTATAGAATACAAGCGTAAAATAGCAGCTTATTGCTACTGTATTTCATATTTTGGGTGTAGAGAACTGTAGACCCTTACAAAGCATTCCATCTTAGACCTCAAAAGTGACAACTCACCTGTAGGCTTCTCTGTTTGAAGTTGGTTGAAGGTGACCATGGCCTGCAGTAACCACTTGTCATGAGGTCTGTAAGTTTGTTTATCATTGTAATTTTATAAAAAAAAGTTTCACCACAAATCTGTCCTAAGGCGGCTATGAATCGGCCAGATGACCTTATGGCCCCTCACAAGTAGAGTTAAAACCATCTGTGACATTAATCCATCAAAGGTGACGATGATGACAAAAAATGAAATTAATTATTATTTATTTATTAAACTTTATTGAACCTTACAACATAATAGGATCACAAGGTGGACTTAATGCTAAAAGCATTCTCTGCCAGTCAACCTTAGAGCAATGAT